TGTGAAAATCTCCGAGTTCCATTTTATTGAAGAAGTAGTTGTCTATGATATAAAAAAACCTAGTTTTTAATTTATCATGAGGAATGGTTGTATAAAGTGTAGAAAAATCGTACGTTTCGATGTTACTAACTTTTGAAAAAAAATATTTTAAATCTTCTAAAAGTTCTTCGGATTTTTTTGAGAATCCACATTTGATTTACACCATTTCTGGAATATGCTGTAGAACAGTACGTCTGAAGTTTCTCTTTTACAGCCCCCTCCTTTTTAGTTTTCCCCTAACATCCATTTACTTGCTGATTACATAAACAAAACATTTGTGTCCGTATCAAAGTACTTTGTCCCACTCTCAGAAATCCAGGAACCAGTCGTGTTAAACTTACTACCAAATACTAGCACTCTTATAATAGCAGCTAAGAAGCATCAACTCAAAGAAAGCTGTAAGACCTAATGGTATCCCAAACTGTATTTAAAAGAACTTTCGTTAGTACCATACCCTGGTATTCAAAGCAATCTCAAAAGTTGTCTGTGCCATTTTAAACAGCTCCTTAAGGGAGGGAATGTCCCTTCATGATGAAAAAGTCTATCTTGTCCCAGTTTCTAATATATCTCAAGTGATTAATTCTAAGAAAGACCTGAGCCCAATTTTCCTGACACCAATACTTGCCAAACTTCTAGAAATCCTGTCACGATGTGGACTCAAGTCAGTTTTTAGCAAAGAGTGGCAGCTCAACAAATGCTTTCTTGAAAATACTTGACACTATTTACAAGGCTTCTGACTTCAGCAGTGACTTTGCCAGACGATTGCCAAATGACCTCAGTAAGTAAATATACAATATACACCATGTCAAACATGTATAACAGAGTGATACAGATGAAATGATAACACAAAGTTACCCTGCCAACAAGATGCAGAGAGTAAAATAAGAACAAAAAATTATATTGGACAAACAAGAATGGAGAAGAACCAAATGAAACACCAAGAATCCGAAATATTTATTTACTGTTATATGGTCACCAGAAAAAGTCCTTATATGAAGACTTTATGAAAACGAAAATATTCACCTAGATTTTGTGGAAAGTCGCCACTAAGATATGACAACCACCACAAAATCAATCATGGATTGGCGCTTGATAAACCACCTTGCAACAGTTACTTCCTGTGTCACTACTACTCAGGGTTAAGTGAGACCGACGTGATGAGATTGAACAAAAATTGAAAAATGAAAAAAACGGTCTGTGAATATTCAGTCATTGGTGACCTAATCATGATTGATAGTCTTAGCTTATGGTGTCTTCCATGCAAGTTTGACCAATATTTATAGATACTTGGAATAGACTAGCTCTAAAATCAGTTGCAGTATTCTATGTTATACATTTATCGACTGAGTTCGAGGGCAACATTGGTTTTGTCGGACCCAAGACAAACAGTTTGCATTGGTTCGAGGGTCGACAAACCGCATTTTGCCCGAGAACACAGACAATAAATACTTTGTTATAACTTTTATTTTATTTTTTGACAAATGTATCTCGTGCTGGCCTCCATGATGTAAATTTCTTTTACCAGCATTGCGGTAAAACTCGGTCAATTCTGTCACTGTCGAACACCAACGTATGCAAATACTAGTACGTTATAGCTGATCCCGCCCACAGTGTGACGTAAGAAGTCCAATATCTCATCGACAGGTCCAATATCTCACTCTGCGGTCAAACATTGATTTTTTTATGACTGCTCACCAAAACATTGGAAATGGTAGACTTTTTTGGTATAGATTTATATAGGAACCAATTTTTAGAGGTATATCAAAACAATTTGGTGACGACATTTAGTACTAAAAATTTGCTTATAGAAGGAAGTTCAATGACTAACATGTATCGAAACACAATTCTTGGTACCGAAATGAAAATTCTCAGAGAGAGAGAGAGAGGAAAAAATTAATGCATAACCTTTGACATGATCAATGTTGGAATATTTTTTTTTTTATCCAAGAGGAGACACAATAACAGAAACGTGTTTCAACTAGAAATACACTGGTAACAAAACAAATGTATACCAAAATTTTCCTCCAACAATTTGGATGAAATTTAAGTGAGAGCGATATGGCACCTTTTAGCCAGGCAGAGAATATTTAACTCGATACTTTTATAAAAACATTAATACTTAAGAATCATATGTCCTTGATATTTTTTGTATGTCGTTGATATGCCAAAATGTAGCTGGATATAGTACTTGTAGCATATTGGTATCAGCTGCGTTTCTTTTCTTTTCTTTTGTTTTGGTTTTTTTGTTTTCCCTAACAAAAAAAATACTATAGTAAACTATAGTTAACTATAGTTTACTATAGTAAACTATAGTAAATCAAAGTTCCAAAGTTTTCACTATAGTAAATCAAAGTTCCAAAGTTTTCACTATAGTAAATCAAAGTTCCAAAGTTTTTACTATAGTAAATCAAAGTTCCAAAGTTTTCACTATAGTAAATCAAAGTTTCAAAGTTTTCACTATAGTAAATCAAAGTTCCAAAGTTTTCACTATAGTAAATCAAAGTTTCAAAGTTTTCCCTATACTTAATCAAAGTTTCAAAGTTTTTTCATGTTTAACAACTTATGTATTTTTATAATATTTTTTTGATTATTTAGCCGTTCTAGGGGAGTGGTCGGATATTGGGTTGGTTGGGGCTGGTTTTTGTTGTACATCTTTATTTAAATATACAAAGTAGTTAATTAAAATGCAATATTCAAAGTTCCAAAGTTTTCACTATAGTAAATCAAAATTCCAAAGTTTTTACTTTGGTACTATAGTTAACAATAGTAAACTATAGTTAACTATAGTTTACTATAGTATTTTTTTGTTAGGGTTTGTCCTGAAGACAAACTGAAAATATGTTGCACTTCACTCAAACTATCAAAGATATATTTGCATGATCCAGTAAATGTTCAACCAAGCACCTATCCATAATTCCCGCCAAAATATTAACTGCTGTGAAAGAGAAACCAGACGTTATTCAAGATGTGACGTAAATAAAATAAGGGTTCTCAAGAGAACTTTTGGAAAATTTAAAAGAACTTTTCAAACATCAATAGCTTCAAATTATATGACTTTTCAACACTTTGTACAACCTCAAGATAAATTATTAAAGAGCAGGCTTATTGACATCATAGACAACTACCTTTTTCAATAATAATAATTTAAAAAAAAAGGAACGCGTAAATTTCATATTTTGTGATTGGTCATCTACAAATTAGTTTGTTCAAAATCATTCTGATTGTACATACAAGTACTCTGAAGTTTTTATTATAAAGATGGTCACCAAATTTGCTCCTTTTTGAACCGACCAGTTTTTTATATTCTTATGCAGCAAAATTGATTTATAAACTTCTTGTTCTCTGATTCTGTGACATTGAAATGACTTTGAACACATCATATCTGCAGAAACTAGATACTGTGAGCAAGCTCATAATATGATAAGCCCCCTTCCCCTTACTTCTGCAGCACATTATTGCTTGAAATGTCTTTTTATTACAAAAATATGGTCCAGACGAAAATTTACACCTTTTTAAACTTGCCCAAATTACCATGACATAAACTAACGCCATGGGTTATCTTTGCTTTCAGCACAAACATCCAGCGCCTCATTATGAGAATTATGTACGAACACAAATTGTACACTTTTTCTGTAGAGAACTTGAACATACAAAGTGTCCTTAAGTCAATGCTGTGACACATTCTCTGATGTCATCTTTATGTAAAGAATGAACTTCCGTTGGCTCTCCATTAAAGACCTCAAAAGTGCATGCCCAAATGATCTTTGGTCAATGTCTCTTAAAGACTGGACTGCAAATTGTGCTATTTTGCTGTCATTGACCTTGAACTTATTCAAATGACCTTGGGGCAAGGTCATGATTGACACATCCCCAGTTCATAAACAATTTACTGTCAAGTATGAACTTGCAATGTCTTTTCATTAAAATGTTATACATTGTACTGACATATGGGTGGATGGAGAGGCGGACAAGGTGGTTCCTATAACCCTTCCCTTTCAAGTTTCGTGTTCGGGGAATATAAAAATCCCAATACAATTTGAATATGCATTTATTACTCAACAATAGTAAAAATATGAGCAAGCTTTGATAAGAACCAATACAATGGACACTATACATTAATTCAGTTTACCTTTCAAAAAAAGCTTATAAACGCGAGTTTGACACACATTTTGACCATTCATAACTTTTTCCTCTAAAGTTGCCTATCAATTTTATTTTACAAATATGACATATAGATGAAACGTAACAAATACACAGCATCCATTTTCCTAACGGTGGTCGTTAATTTTACGCATATAATACGCATATAATGTTACACATATGTAATTTTTCCACAGTTTATAAGTAATGGTATCATGTTCTTTTCCCGTTGTCATGGCAACAATTTCACTACAGATATTTTGGTTTTGTTATTTTTGGAAAATAGGGAAATTCATTCTTAAAATAAACCTGCTAATCAAAATACTATATCTTATCACGTACAAGAAACATAATCCCAGAAAAATGACTGAAAATCATTGATTTTCATATTAAGATTTATGGACTTCCTTGGACAAAGGATTTCTTTGGATACCAGTCCATTGATATGTCTGAAATCATTTTCAATAGTGTTTGTGCATTAAGAAGGATAATATCCACTATATACCAAAAAAAAAAAAAAAAAAAAATTGAAAAAATAAATTTTTGACCTTCCAAGAAATGTTTGATGCTTGCTGATTTTGACTCCGAACTCTTGTGGCCTTCTTTTGAAGAGAATTTTGGTATTCCTATTTTTTGATTAAAACTTTGTTTGTGAATGAAACAACAATCACTGGATTGTGACAATACAATAATGTATAATTATTTTAAATTATTTCTACAATCAGGTAGAACAACTTATATATATCAAAAATGTTATTTCAAATTAGAATAAAACAAAACAGAACAAAAACAAAGAATCACATTACTGTGAAAGCCAGTCTTTAGGTTGTATTGTACTCGTAGTCTACATGAGGCTTCATTGTCTTGCTAGAATCGTGTACAACATAAAAGTTCCTCCGTTTCTCCTGCAGGCCACTAGACTCGCCTGGTCACATCAAGATATTTTTAAAAAGTTTTGGCATTCATCCAGTGCTGATGTAGGTATTTAATATATACACACTACCGAGGACTGTACATGGTATAATGATGATTTATACAAACCCTATTGCACAGAAGACTACATGCTTAAAACGATTGAGATACAGGTAGATGTGGGTCTCCTTACAGAAGTCTCCAGCACAGAGAAGACATTATGTTTTTCCTGTCGTTTTCTTTGCCCTGGGATTCATCAAAAATAATTTTTTGAAAAAGGGTTATGTTCGGTGTTATGAGGAAGACATAGCCTCGATCTGGCTTGCCCTTTTCAATCACATGATTTCACAGCCTTTCTTCTTACTCTTCACTTTACCAGCCGCGGGTTCAGGCGGAGGTGTGTAACTATATGAAGAACGACTTGTTGTGCCTGAAACATCAAAAAGGTACGAGTTTAAATAAGAAATATGTAATTATTGAATTCAATCTCAAATAAACAGCTTCTGATAACTGGAATTCGTTAATTTTCTGTTTTATGGATCTAGTCAGTTCTCTTTTAAATAGATACTATTTTCATCCATTTCTTAAACAGATATTGTCATAAATATAATTTTCAATCATATTTAAGAACCCATGATCTGGTACTCATCTATATATATATATATATATATATATATATATATATATATATATATATATATATATATATATATATATATATATATATATATATGATTATAATTATATATGCGTAGTCAACAGTTATCACTAACAGTTACAAATTAGAATTCTTTAGAGATGAAGGGGTAAATCGGACAAAATCGTCCCAAAAGTGCAAAGGTTCACACTTGTAAGCCTACCTTCTGAGTTTGATGACCAGTGATCTTCATTTGCGTTGTATTTGTACAGTGGCTTTTTGTCTGCATCAATTTGTATATCCCACCAGTCGTAGCTGTATGATTTCTGAAAAGAACAGTATTGTATGGTTCTTGAAAATAGCATATACTGTAGAAAGTGAGTGTTTGTTTTATTTATTTACAGACAAAAAGACCCCCCCCCCCCCAAAAAAAAAAAAATCATCAAATAAACAAAATAAATTATGTAGAAACTGAAGATCACATTAAGCAGTACGTACTACTCTTATGACAAACTCGGATATCTGGATATTGATCGTTATTGTAGTTCTACACCAGTCTTCTAGAGTAGGCTTTCCCTTCTAAAATCTTTCCCCTCTGAAAACTGGCTCCCCGGAAAATAGGCTCTAGAGTAGGATTTACCCAAAAGAAGTGACTCTAGAGTAGGATTTCCCCTACGCAAACGGGAAATCCCACATCAGATTCATTTTTGGGGTGGGGGTAGGGTCCTACTCTGTTTAATAGTTATAGAGTGCGATTTACCCCAGAGTCACCCCAATAAAATATCTTGGCTGTACTAATGTGGGGGGGGGGAGCACCATATTGTTACAAGTGTCCCTTTTTCAAAATGGCGACCAGATCCATTGAAACATACGAAGTATAAAAATTGAAAATTTTAAATCTCAATTTTCTCTGCAACCGTCCAACCAATTCTTTTGAAGCATTAAAATCTTATTCTTTTGATCAGGTCAAACTGGTTTCTGTTAAAATGTTGGTACAATTTAATCGGTTGGACAAATTTTTAACTGTATACATGGAAACAAAAAGGAATTCTATTTTTAATTGATTTATTTTCTCCAGTTGTCACTTCATGTACATAACACTGATGCATGTGTAAGTCCAAAATTCTGATGTTTTAATGTCAAAAATAGCTGCCGTTGCCATGAAACTAAAAATGAGTCATTTATTTCTAAAAATTTGAAATTTTGCAAAAGTTTAAGAGAGTATTTGCTCTCTGTTTTCAAATCCAATATTACACCGCTGGTGTCGAGAGGACATATGTTTCGTCTTGCAAAAGCAGTGTTTCTTGTACTGTTTTTGGTTTAGGTTTTTTTTTCCTTCAATTTTGTCCCTTTGAAGAACTACTTCAAATACTCACAGGTACCGCTGCGCCGAGAGAGACGGTTTTGAATTTTTTGAGTGACTTATTTTACAGACTCCTATTAGATAAAATGTTGGGTTGAGACTCGATGATTTGAACTACGTTTATATACCGGTATGTTAAGATTTCATACTAAACTCAACTATTCTTGAGTCAAAAAAAACTCATATTTCTATTTAAAAATCAGTTGACTTTCACATAAAGTTTTAGCCAAAATATTGTCGATATGCAAGAGTACAGATTCCGGGGGGGGGGGGGGGGGTTGGGGGGGTTGGCTATGGAGGAAATCCTACTCTACAACACCGGTACTATTGGTCGCTTTCTTCATTGGTATAAAATTTACTTGATATCGTCCGTTACCTTGATTGTTTAAACATACTAATAATTGTTTGTGAATTATTTTTCTGCTCTACATCTATCCATCTATCTGCACTTTGCAGTAATGAACATTGTTATGTATCTTCTGACAACTTCATTAGATAAGCTGATCCAAATTCAAGAATCTACTTATAAAGATTAATTTGAATAATACAGACTTGTCGAAATTCGTCGGTCCTGTCGGCAAGGCCGATAAAAATTTGTCTGGACCGATAACTCTCAAGAAAATGTCGGTCCAAATGACCGTTTGAAAAAAATCTCGAGTGAAGCAAATTTTAAAAAGATCGGGTTTGTGGTGCGCAGGTGAAAGTCACAGAAACAGCAGAAATGGCCGTGTGGTGACGATAGTCGATTAAATTTGTTACAGCAAAGACATAAAACGTGCCATTTATGTCTCTGATTAAAGATTCTCTATTCTAAGAAAAGAAACTTGTGAGATTGAAGGCTGTTGAAAATAATAAACGGCATTTTAGTGCAGTTTTTATTTTACTTTCTCAGCGTCAAAATAAAGTACGTATATCTGGTCTGACAAAACTTCGTCCGGTCCAGCAGAACATTTGACTTTGTCAGACCAAATGTCTGACAGTGATTTCAAAATTTCGACAAGTCTGATAATATTCTCTGCGCTCTCAATTTCCACAATAGAAGCACGAATATAGGCTCAAAGAATGCTACGAATGATTGAATTAATTATAATTATATTATTGTTCGGTAGTTTGTATATATCCTTTGTCAAATTCATATTTGTATATTTTGTAGAAATGCTTTCAATCTGATAAACATATTGTTTAAAGAATAATCTGAAACTGAAATAGTTGTAACCGATTTGAAACTAAATGTACATGTAATTATAAAAAAAATGTTAAGTAAATTAAATCACTTCCTCTTTTCTAGTACGAGATAACTGAAAGATGGTACGAAAAAGGGACCATTTGAAAAAAAAAAAAGGTTTTCAATCTTGAAAAACGTTGTTAGTACAATATGAAAAAGCAACATAAAAACAAAACTTAGATTTAAATTGTTACAAATGTCACCACTGTGGCCTCTTTGAGGCCCATTATGAGTTTAAAAGTTTTCTACAAATTTTATTTAAAGATACCAGTAACCTAAATAGGATTCAATTTACGACTTTACGTTATAACTAATGTTATGTATTGTTATATATCAGTTACCTTCTCTTTGTTGGCCTTGGCACTGTCCTCTTTTGGTTTTTTCTCCCCGATTTCTTTCATCAAGACCTTTGTATCCTCCGTGAGTTTTCCCTCCTTTTCCAGTTCATCTGTAAACGCTTCCAGCTGATCTTCACTGGATTCACTATAACACACTAAAGAAAACGACAAAAAAACCGCTAGAAAAAACGACAAAAAACAGTAGAGAAAGCAATCACAAAACACTAGAGAAAAGGACAAAAACACTACAGAAAGCAATCACAAAAACACTAGAGAAAAGGACAAAAACACTAAAGAAAGCAATCACAAAACACTAGAGAAAAAGACAAAAACACTACAGAAAGCAATCACAAAAACACTAGAGAAAAGGACAAAAACACTACAGAAAGCAATCACAAAACACTAGAGAAAAGGACAAAAACACTACAGAAAGCAATCACAAAAACACTAGAGAAAATGCCAAAAACACTAAAGAAAGCAATCACAAAACACTAGAGAAAATGCCAAAAACACTAAAGAAAGCAATCACAAAAACACTAGAGAAAAGGACAAAAACACTAAAGAAAGCAATCACAAAACAATAGAGAAAAGGACAAAAACACTAAAGAAAGCAATCACAAAAACACTAGAGAAAATGCCAAAAACACTAAAGAAAGCAATCACAAAACACTAGAGAAAATGCCAAAAACACTAAAGAAAGCAATCACAAAAACACTAGAGAAAAGGACAAAAACACTACAGAAAACAACAAAAACACTAGAGAAAGCAATCACAAAAATATAGAAAACAACAAAAACACTAAAGAAAGCAATCGCAAAAATAGAGGAAAACATCAAAAACTCTAGCGAAAACAATCACAGAAACACTAGAGAAAACGACAAAAACATTAGAGAAAGCAAACACAAAAACACATAATATTCAGAATAACAGCTTTCTACACTAAAGTACACACAACAAGTTATAAATCTTTTAAAAAATGTACATATACATGGTTGATCATTGGACCCAGTATCTAAACTGGATCACACATCTCTCTTCAAATAGAAATTGCTGAGTACATACCAGCTAAAAACATTTGAGTGATGAGGTTGAAGTGATTGAGGTGAAGGAAACAGCCCCCTGTTTGCTCTGCAATCTCTTCATAAAAATGTTTCTCCGATCCCTCCGATCTATTACACAGGACTCCGTATATCTGAAATAAAAACGCATTAGATCAACTTAGTCTTCTATTTTTCTACATAGCGAATTTTTGTCTTCATGTTATGACACAGATATTAGAAATGGAAGTTTCTGATGAACCTGTTACCTTTACGCCCATTCCTTTCAGCAGCTCTACCTCGTTCCACCAATTTATGTTTTGGTCAGTGTATGAGGGTGGATGGGGAGGCGCATCTCCAATGACTACCAAAGCCTTAGCAGAATCCTCAGACCAATCCAAGAACTTGGCCTTGTGTAACATCCACTCATAGCACTGTTATAAGAATTAAATTGTCACATAAAAAAGTTAAGTTCTTGTGGTCTAAAGATTCCACTTATGAAGACTTTTTACGACTCAAGCATGACATTTAGCTGTGCTATAAAATCTTTGAGAAATATTTAATTTTGTTTGGGAAGAAATAGGCAAGTTGTTGGTTGTGTTAAAAAACCGACCGTTTAAGGAAACCTTGGACATACAGAAATAGTCTGAAAGATTAGCAAGTACACGGTCAGTACGCCTATATCCCTGTATCCCTATATCCCTGTCTGTCTTTCCTTCCACATTAATTTAATATCTCTACAGAATCAGCATTTTAAAAAGCATCTAATTATAATATTGAATTTAAATATGGGGTTCGGTGAATCAAAGGAAATGAGTGGAATTAAATATCAATGACGTTTTAAGAGTTTTTTTTGTGTGTGAAAAATACCTCAGGGGTGTCGCCTCCCCCTGTGCTTGGTGTGTTATTGGCGAAGTCAACCAGTTGCTGGACATCTGAAGTAAGATCTAGTTGTCTGATGACGTATGTATTCTGGTCACAGTAGTCGCCATGGGCAATTAATCCGACCCGGATGTTTGGGATATCTTGCAGTAGTCTTCGACAGGTCTCTTGCAGATTTTCTCGAACCTAATATTTTAATTTGCGTCAAGCTTTTAATGATAATATCATGAAACTGAGATCCTGAGAAGAAATTAAGAAAAGGAAAATTACACATCATACAATTTTATAATCTTTAACATTGATAATGTTTCCCAGTTGATCCATGGTTTAAATGCTAGGATATTTTAAACATCGTTAATTACAAAGGACCTTACCTTATTCAGATAGCTTGCCATACTTCCTGTGGTATCGAATGAAAATACCACCTCCACGTTTTTCCCTCCAGCGGCGAAACTTGATAAAACTGCCTAAATACATGAGTGCATGGCTATGAAATCTATTTTATATTACATCGATGAAAGAATATTACAAATACAAATCAGAGCTCTTTTTTGTAAAAAAGAAGAAAGGTAGAAAACTCTGTATATAGTATTTACTCACATCTTTTATTTCCTCTGATGCTTCTTCGGTATTTTTCACGAATGGGTCTGCAAAATACAACCTGGTGCTTTAATTGTGCATTAATCTGAAAACTCAAACTTGATTCTGAATTTGCTCAACGTTTCCTTTATATAGAAAGGAATCCGACTTTGTATGGCCTAGAGACGTACCATAATTTGAGGCTTTGGGTTTCTCCTTGGCTTCTATCGTGCTCTCCTCTCCTACTCCCTGAGAAAACAATGGCTGGTCCTCTGTTAAGGCCCTGCCCCCGCTCAACTAGAAAAATATACTATATGTAAATATATATACTCTATATATAAAAACTGACTATTCTTAACAACTGCTCGACTAATGTCCATACTATACATGGGTTATATAATTATGTAAATAAGGACTCGGAATTTTACTTTAATAATGATAAGAATACATAGATAGTAACAGAAGTATAGAGTGTTATCCAGGGGAATGACAAGATTTTCAGAACCTCGTTAATTTCTGGACTTACATACTTCTTTATATAAACCGTAAAAGTTAAAAATTGTTTATTTACCGGTATAAATATATATTTTCAAATATCAGGGTTGTTTTCTTTACAAAATTAAGTAACAGAATCACAAAATTTTAGAAACACTGACCAAGGCATAAAAAAAGTAAATGTATATATTTATTTATATTCATATATTATATATATTTATTTCATTTCAGTGATTCATAAATATAAAAACTGAGAAAAGGTGCTACATGAACGGAAAAAAACTAATTAATTCTTGATCAATATTGTAGAATAAAAATTTGATTCAATTTGGTAAAAATGGGGTTTGTTTTATTAACTTCAGTTATTAGATATTTTATCGTTGTTAGGAGCACGACCTTTTTACCCGATCCCTAAAGATCAATTGCTAACTTTAAATAATGGTGGTAGACCAAGATGGCGTCTCTTACGGTGCAGAAGTATTGCGTATGATCAAAAAGACACGCAGACAAACCTTGTACCTGATATTTAAATGACGACCCGTCTACATCTTCACTCTCCGACAGAGCAGACGATATCGAGGCAACCAAATCTGTCGTCTGCACGGTCACCGGAACTGAACGTCCATCAGGAAGTTTGACGTACACTTGGATTGTCCGTGGGATAACGACCTGTAATATTTTATTTTAAATATATAATATATATTTTTAGTGCAAATTGTGAAGATAACAAACGGTGTTCAAAGGTCCAATTAAACAATGAAAAATGAAAGCTGAGCAAGCACGGACTCCTTAAAACATCAGAAGTGGAATCAGGTGCCATGAAGGAGTAAGCATCCTTTGTCGACCGATCACACCCGCCGTGAGCCCCTTGTCATGATCGGGTAAAGGAAGAAATCTGTAGACAATTCAGAATGAAAATAATGTCCTAAGAATTTGTATTTTAAAAAAGTCAGTCCTAGATCTAGAGACAAATTGTATTTGCCAGCAAGGTCATTATATCGGCCAAAGAATTTGCAAAATGTTGACTTTAAGCAAAAATATTGGTACCCTTGTACATATTGTTGTATCATCAACTTATTTGTTAGTAATTTAGAATTTGTTCGAACATGCTCTTGAGTATCGAATCAACTGGGATATATATAAACATCATTTACAGATGATTGCGTGTGTACATGTATTGCTACATTGAGAGAAAAAGTAGAAAATAAGAAAAGTTAAATATCATATTTATCATAAAGTTTAGTTGTTTGTTTGCCATCAAAGTCTTTCTCTTAAAAAACATCTAAATATGAAATGAATGTGCCAGACTCTGTGGTGTCTTTAATTTCGAGTTCAGTGGGATATATCGAATCAATATACATGTATATGAATGATAATGAAAATTGTTAATTGATAAATATTTCCATTTCCATTTGTTTTCTCTGTGATAACTCTTTGAAAGTTAGGAAAGTTGATTTCCTGATCATTCTAAAGGAATGCAAATTTCGCCAAGCGAAAGGTCAGGAGCTAAGAAGGCCTAATATGCATGTAATTCTCGTGCACCTGTCTTTGTATTTGACGTCAGTGGGCGGGGACTATTGAAATTGACATGTGAGGCCTCGTGTAATTTAAATCTATTAGTCTACATTTTTAAAATCTAAATTTACATTTTTATTTCAAAATGAAATGGAAATATAAGGAATCACTGTCTAGTTAGTAGAGTATACCAGGGACATCAACGATAGTTGGAAACGTGGGATAATTTATGCATAACGGGCTTCGCCCGTTATGCAAATTTATCCCCCGTTTCCAACTATCGTTGATGCCCTGGCATACTCTACTAACTAGACAGTGATTCCTTAAAACATCGTCGATATATACAGCAGTCGAATTAAAGGTCCTAGCAATAGACTTTTTAGTTCACCTGATCCGAAGGCTCAAAGGCGGCCATTCTTTTTCATAGGAATATATAGAATTTAAAAAAAAAAATCTTTCCAAGATCTACAAGCCACGGAAGCATCCTCAGGTAGAGTAGATTCTTTGTTCAAATCTTGACCTGTGGAGGATAAGGTGGGGCCATAATGTGCAATAAAAGTTTTACAGAGGAATATACTAGGAAATCTTTTCAAAAACTTCTTCTCAATAATAGCAAAGCCATGGTTAGTCATATTTATAAGAAAATATCTCCAGGTAGTTTAGATACAATTTAGTTTAAATCATGACTTTATAGGGGTATGGTGCGGCCACAATTTGTGACCAAAGTATATGGGGGGAAAGTCTTCTGATGAAGAACAGTAGAGCCATATTGACTTAGGTGAGACTTGCTGTCCCTAGGCCTCTTGTTTCTTTTCATGTCGAACTTTTTGAAGAAATTTTGCTTCTTAAGAATACAAAAACAGGTCTGATGATAAAAGGTGCACAATTAGTATTTTTGACAATTCCAACAAATTTTTGGAAGACTTGTTCTCCAAAGACTGTATAGATATTTGGAGAGAATTGGGAACTCGGGCATCTTTTTTATATCAGCCTCGGGTACTTGTGTGTAGAATCAGAATGATTTAACTTGCAGTAAGGTTGTAGATGACCAATGACAAGATGAAATGTAATGCATAACAATAAATGTACACAATTGTACATTGTACGCTGAAAGGATAAGAGGTATACTTGACAAAAATGTATTTTTCATATTGATAAAAACAAAATATTGAAAATATTGCATTTTTTAAACGAGTAATTTGTGGTATATGTTGACGTTTGATACTGATTTCGTTTACTTTACATCATTGTGGTATATATTACTGAGGATTACTAAGGGCAATTACATATTTAAGAAACTGTGCTGTTCGGACATTAAATCTTTTTAATGAGTCAAGATTCTGCATCATAAGAACATTTTAATTATTTATTTATTTATTTTGATAACTTTTATCCATCACTTGTTTTACTGACCAGGATGTACTGTATCAGTGACAACAATATCCCTCTGTTCTGATTGAGTGTTATACTCTGACTAAGCGTATAACTGAATGATTATACCAGATAAAATCAAACAAATTGTCAAAACAAGTTTTATTTTATCACATTTACCGCGTACATTAAAACAGAAAACGAATCATTAAAGGATGGAAAATACCAGTTTGTCTTAGCAGTATTACCCCCCGCAAAAAATATTTAAAAAAATATTATTCTATAGTATTTAGTATAAAACATTTTCTTATTAATTTGATGCACTCTGCATTTTATGATTTATAACACCTTACCTCAGCCTTGAGTATGGTTTCGGCCCTAACTCCGTACTGTCCCACCGTTTTCCTCCCGTCCAAGATTTTCCCCTGATACTTTAGGATGACCCTGTCGTCAGGGACGCCCTCCTCCCTCCCCACGTGTTTGTTGATCTCACTGATTCTACTCCCAGGGAGGAGGTTTAGGGTAGTCGTTCTCCCCGTGGGGAGTTTAACATACACGTCTACAGCATTCCCGGCCATTTCCTGGTTTTTATTTTGATTAAACTGTACACCCGGTAAGTTTTCGTAATGTTTGATTGTACAGGATATCTTTGTTTATATTATGGAGCGATCTGATCTCTATTTTTATAAGCCAATCAGTGCGCGTATATTTAAAACACACCGGCCTGGTATTGCTAAATTTAGATTCCCCAGCCTAGTTCTCAATCGCTATCCAGAGTTGTCGTTCCTTTCATTCGCCCATGATCCTACTCTGCTCGAAAAATCACCATTTACACATGTATTAGATTTTAGTACGATTAAAGCATGTGTAGAAGATTCCCTGTTTTAAATCATCTTATTCAGACATCTAAATACATAAAATCAAAAGATATAGTTTTTAATCCTTCAGACCGTCAGACTTGTGTCAGGGATATAAATGATTAGATCTAAACCTTGAATGAGTTTCTTTCTTTTTTTTTTTTAAATGTGACAAATAAGCTTTCTGATTGTAAATATACATAAATATGAAAGAAATATGATGCAATAAAATCCCCCCGAAATTACTTTTTCTCCAATTTGTCATTTTTTTTCAAACCTAAGCCCCCCCCCCTCCCATAGAAATTTTGATATTGAAGTTTTCTATTTTAAAAAAAAAACAACTAGATTTTGAAGTGATCCTATTTTACGTTGTTTTGTTGCACTCCTGAAAGATGAAGTTAATTTATTATTTTAAAAAACAGTTTTGTACTTCTGTCTGCTGTAAAATTTAAAATTAAAACCATAGAACACAAAAATTCATAAAGTTTTGGCAAAATCAAGTTGCAACGAAATTGTGCAATATTTGTATTCCCAATAATTCATGGTTAAAAAAAATAATTTTTTTTAAAACTTTGCTTCATAGTTTATATTTTGGGTTATTTCCTATTGTTGTCACAAAACTACCTACAAAAGTATTATGAAGATAAAAATTATATTTTATAGGACATTAAAATTTACTTTATGTGACACTGTTAAAAACTGGGGTCAACCTGAAACATTCTACTCATCAATTTCTTTTTTTTTTATTTATACATATTTGATTCCCGATAATTCTAATATTTTTGTTGCACTCCTGACCAAGAGCATGTGAGTCTTTAAAGAAGAATTGTGAAGCATAAGTTACACCAGAACGTGAGTGAATTTTTAAAAAAATGACCAAACACATATTTTTTAACTTGCACTAAAAGTACAGGCAATGGGAATTTTCTATGTCTCAGAATACGTCTTTTGATAGTGTCGAAATACCTGCCAAATATCTCGTTGATATCTCGATTCACTAAAAAGTTATGCCCAAAAATAATGCTAAAATGTCAGGAGTGCAACACCTTTTTGTGATCATGTCATGACATTTTGAAAAATGGTTTATGGTGGAAATTAAAACTTTTCTGATAATATTCAAAGTATTGAGCTTTAAACGTAGACTGTAGACAAGTTAAACCATGTCAGGAGTGCAACAGAAAAAATGTACTGTTGCCAAAAAGACATCGATTTTAAAATATGAAGGAAAATTAAGTCAAAAAAGAATTTTCAATGTGTAAAACAATAACTGATTTACAATTTAAAACTTAAAAATGTTATATAAATCACAAGCAGCATTAATGAGAGTCAAGTATCTGTGCATACCCAATAATGTCAGGAGTGCAACATTTAATGTTTTGTTCTCCAGCATGAAAAAACTATTATCATAATATGATTCTCTGATTTTTATTTTTGGAAAATAAAGACTCAAAGAACATTTTTACCAAATAGATTTATCAATTACAGGATCAGATCTATATTTCTATCGTCAGGAGTGCAACACATTTTTTTGAAGATAAAAGTTATATGATGAAAAGACTTCTACTCATGCTAAGAAATATTCTTTAATTAATAATGAACTATTTGAATAATCTAGTACTAAATTATTGACAGTTTTATTATTAAAACCCTTCTCTTTTTCAATTTTATCAATTCAGATTTGTTTTTATCTTTTCTTTGATTTTTTAAGAATGTGAAAAATAAACACACTGAAAAATTGTTATAAAGTTCAAGTGATTCCACCTCAACTTCACTGAAACAACAGAACAAGTTCTGATGTAATTTTCGCTTCACAATTCCACTTTAAAGACACCCATGCTCTTGGTCAGGAGTGCAGCAAATATGGTAGAATTATTGCTGATCAAATATGAATAAATATAAAGAAAAAAATGATGATAGAATGTTTATAGTTGACCTCAGTTGTTTACAGTGTTTGTCCTGTGAAGGAAAATATGCTATAAAATATATTTTATCCTCTAAATATATATTTTAGCTAGTTTTTTGACATAAATAGGGAATAATTCAAGATATGAAGTCAAGTTTAAATACTTTCATGTGTTTTAATTATGAATTATGCACAATTTCGTTACCACTTGATGTTGCCAACACTTTATGAATTTTTGTGTTCTGTGGTTTATATTTTAAATTTTACTGAAGTCAGGAGTGCAACAAAACTGTTTTATAATTATCAATGATCTTTATCTATCTTTACTAAAAATAAATAATAAAAAAATGTTTGATACTATTTGTTGTTCAAAACATTATGTCTGTCAACCAATTACAGACATTTTACAGTCAATTCAGAGAATAGTTTTCATCACTTAACGTATATTTTCAAATACAATGTATATATATTACACATTGCAAATAATCATGGTTTGAAGTCTTGAAAATATGAAAAACTTGCCGTAAATGATAAAAAAAATATCAAAACGACGAACTGATTTACAAACTAAGAATGAGTTATTGTGTGTTATAATTTTTAAAACAATGTTAAATAAAATCGGATATCAGATGTCTGGAATGTAACAAAAGGTCGCGGCAAAATCTAGTATTTTTTATTAAAAAAAACCTGTACATGAATATCAAAATTTTCTTTTGGCTTAAATTTAAAAACTGATTTAAATGGACAAAAAAATTATTTGGGGGGAATTTTAAAGTTTCATATTTCTTTCATATTAAAACTTTTCAAACCAGAATTGAAAAAATAATGTAAAATTACAACCAAAACGCCAAATTTTTTCCACATATACAAGAGAAGAAACTGAATCAAGGTTTAGATCTAATCATTTATATCCCTGATACCATTTGGAAGCATAAAACACTAACATTTCTTTTGATTATGTATTTTAGAGTGTCTTTTAGGATATAGTGATACATGTATTTTCTTTTTTCAATAAAGTTTTACTAATAAAAATTCTGAAACTTTTTTTTATCCAATTGTCTATTCTATTGCAACTTCGGGAATTTTAACTAGAATGCTTTTACAGTATGATGATATAAGTGAAAAATATGTTATGGGTAGTTGATTTTTTTTTAAAAATTTAATTTGGTGGTCTTTTTTTTTTAATTCACCCACGTGTTCTGTTGTTTCTGTGAAGCTGTGGTAGAATTACTTGAATTTTATAACAATTTTTCAGTGTGTATATGTGTGTTTATGTTTAATTAATTTCATATAAAAAGAAACGAAAAGAAGAACTCACATCTGGATCGATAAAATTGAAAAAGAGATGGATTTCAGTGTCAATAATTTAGTACTGAATTATTCAAATAGAGCCATATTGATCAGACAATACTTATTGGTATAAATAGAAGTCATTTCATCTTTTTAAAAAAATGTTTGTCACTCCTAACCGTAGAAATATGGATCTGAAACACAGACAGATCCCATAATTGATAGATTTATTTGATAAAAGTGTTCTTTGTGTCTTTATTTTATAAAATATAAAGCACAGAATCATATACATAAAAAAGTTTTTCCATGTTGAGAGAGCAAAACATCAAGTTTTACACTCCTAAAATAATGTAAGATTTAGTTACTTTCTCTGTCTTATTTCAGTCCAGATTTTTTTTACTTACTTTGATATCCTTTCACACTGTGAGAGAAATCACTTTGATATCCTTTCACTCTGTGAGAGAATATCACTTTTATTCAATAAATACTAGTAAAGCACAGTATTTCACTGTTGAAAATGTAATAAATTCCTTTATGTCAAGCGTGAAAATGTAATAAATAGAAAATGTAATAAAATAAATGTAATAGAAGAAAATGTAATAAATAGAAAATTCAATGTTTTGTAGTTGGATACTCGTGATACAGGATTTTAAATTTTATTTTTACTCTTGCTTCGCACTCGTGAAAATAAAAAAAAATCCTGTTCCACTTGTGAAATAATTTCCATATCCAACTACAAAACATTGAATATCCTCTTTATGTACAGATACTTATATTAATAGCGATTCTCTGTAACCACTTAAACTTCTTTGCCACGTATGGTCACCGATTTTAATGAAACTTTGCCCATTTTTACAACTTGACACCAGAAACATATATCAAACAAAATTTCGTTGCTATGTGTCTTGGTTGCCATGGTAACAGCCAGAAAAGTTGAAAAAACTGAGATTTTCAGCTACTTCGAATCTTTATTAAGCCTTAATAAAGACTAAGAAAAACAAACAAACCATTCTCACAAAAACATGACACCTTGTTGCCACTTATGCTATAAAGAAATTATTTAGAATTTATCTCTAAGTGAGTGGTAACCATGGGTACATTTGGAATACATTTGAGATGCTGAAAAATACTCAATATTCACAAATGATAGATGTTACATGATCAAACCCAATCAACAACTTAAGAAAAACAATAAAAAATATTTGACCTTAAGTAATCAGGTATTGGCAATATTATTCTAAAAATAACTTTCATGGTTGCCATGGTAACACAGTGTTACAATGCAAAATCTGTTGCTATGATTGGTTTAATGCTACTATCTTGAGGAAAAACAATAAAATTCATGACTGGCACATATACATCCTTAGGACCTTGCAACACCAACAACATAAGAAAAATTGGGACTGCAGTGTAACCATGGAAACAACGTACTAGTTGTTTAAAGAGATATATTTTTTGCTGCTTTAGGAATTCACTTACCTTTTAATCAAGAAACATATTATTTGACTAACCTTGAATAGTACTTATCTGGTAGAACTAAAGTTGAATATCATATA